TGATAAACTAAGGGGTGAAAAGGTAAGCCTGACTAGATAGTCCTAGCTATTACTAAGATATTAAAATCTTATGACAAAAAAAGGTTTAAAAATCTAGAAGGACAAGGAAAACATTAATGACACTGGCTCATAAATGGAACTTACATTTTTCTAAAAAGATCCTCTATATCTGTCCGAGGACAAATCTTTTGTGTTAGTTCATAAAACTTTTCATACGTAAATGCTGCAGGCTCAATTTCATCATTCTGTGAAGAATAACAGAGTGTCATGAATCACGGAACTATTTTCTCCTTGAAGGAAGAGAATCTACAGAGTCACGAAGCAAAGTATAGACCCCTTGGAATCCCAGTGCTTCCATCTCGCACTGTAGCTGACAGCAGCCAGGTCAAGCCAGGCCCTTCAGCCAAAACCACACCAACCTGCTAGAACATGGTGTGTGTCAATGAGAGTTTCTAGCTATCATGCAGCCAGGGTTGTGCTTGCAAACCTCTGGCTATCGCTAGGCTTGCTCTGGAAAACACCCCAAAGAACAAATACAGGGAAGCATTTCTTCCTTCTCTCCCTGAAGAAAAGAGCCTACCTAAAGGATGGTGATGAAGCTCAATCTTTACTTACACTTATTTTGTGAATTTTCACAAGACCACATAAAGGGGCTTAGGACAACCTATAAAATTTTGCATTTCATACGGGAATTTATATTTCAAATAGGGCTTGTTAGAGCAATAGTCAATATGCTGATTTCAATTGTTTAAATTCTAAGAGTTGTGAACAAAAGTGGTTGGTCTGGGAAGAAGGGCTTCATAAACTTCTCACAGCTATCTTGAAGAGTTGAATTTATTATTGTTCGTGCTGACTTTCTGCTTGGTTGAGGCTGGGTTGATAGGCTTCTCTGAAGTAAGCTCCCTAAGCTATAAAAGAGCGGCTAGCTTTCATTTCCTTTTCTTAATACAGTTGACAAAAAACATATAAAGGTACAGTATTTCCTTTTCTTAATACAGTTGACAAAAAACATGTAAAAATACACTACTCGAATTTTAAAGTTACATTGCGCACAGAATACAAAGGGAAGGATGGAAGGAGGGAGGGAAGACTGAGGGAAAGAGAGAGGGAGGATGGAGGGAGGGAAGGAAGGAAGGAAGGAAAGGATATCCTATATATGACTGAATCCTGAATCTAACTGAGATGAATTTAATATAAATAATCTGTCTTATTACATATAAGGACATAAATGAACAAAATGGTTTTAGAAACACATTATTAAATTAATGAATACCTTTCCACTGGGAAGACCTAACTCCTTGAGAGCTTGAAAGATCACCTTTTCTGTTTTCCCCGATGCAAACGTTCTAGTAATACTAGGGCAGAAAAGAAACAAGAAGATTCAAGTTATTGAATAATTGCTTTTCATTTCCTGGTGTTTTTCACTTCCCAAAC